AATTTTGCAATTGTGGTCAAAATCCATATATTATCTGATTGACATTTACATATGAAACATCTATAAACTAGACCAGATCTTTCTGAAACAATGAAACCATCGGTTTGCTAAAATGTCACCACACTCATGCTGTACCTTTCCCAACGCGTTTAACTGTCACGCTTAATTTGGTACAGCCCCTGTGATTACATGTCGCACAAAACTAGGGATTCAAACATAGCTATTCCAGCCAATCAGAACATGCTATTTCAACTCAAGGTCACTAGTTAAACGGTTGTTATGATAATGACTGCGAAAATAAGTTATTTTGATGATTTCTTATCCTTTAGTTGATTTTAGAGAAAACATTTTGCAACGTGTGAAAATAATTTATAGGTACATTCCTGGCCAGACCATTTCTGTAGCTACATATTTAGCAAAACACATGTAAATGTTTTAATATAGTCAATATTGATAATTTAAAAACGTAGTAGTTTCCATTAAGCTGTTATCTCTTAAGATTTCACTCAGAAAGTGATGTCATCGACTCTCAACTTTCATAACCTTACCTATAACAGTAAAGAAAAGTACCACAACATCACTTCTAGACAAGTGGTCCTTACTTTATGGGAAAAACTATTTTCAGAGCTTGTCAACTTAAAATGAAAGAAGACTTTTAGAAGGATTAAATCAAAGACAAAATTAAAGAATATTCATCTGGTTTTGTAATTCTTAATAGCTCCTTTCCTAATGCTATGCAAAGTTGAGAGTCGATGACCTCACTTCCTGAGTTAAATCCTATAAGACTGCAGGCTGCTGGAATGGAGCGCTACATTTTTTAAGTTATCAATATTGACCATATCAAAATATTTTCCGTGTTTTGCTAAATATGGAAGGTATATGGTTTAAGCCCAAGACTCAATGAATTATGTAATGACCATTTCTTTCAGGTTTCCTCAGATTAACAAGAAATGGTCATTCCAGGGCATAAATTCTTAAACAATTAGCCTAACATTATGGCATCAAAATACCAGAACAGAGAATAACATAGGAATATCCTATGGTTTTGAAAAAATATCATTTATATCAATGAGTGGATATAGATATCTTTACGAGTGAGCGCAGGGAATGAGTTACGATATTGATATCCATGAGTGGATATAATTCATATTTTTGAAAAAACATGGGATTGTCCGTTTATACCATGGGAAATCTTAACCCAGCAAAAAAATTGTTAAAGAAATTTTAAAAAGATTTCGAAAAACAATTTTGGAAAAAAAAATTGAAGGAAAAAATCTAAAACATATTTTTAAGAAAATCTTGAAAAAAGTTTTGAGAAAAACATTTGACAAAAAATTATTGAAAAAATCTAAACCATCGAATATCACTTTGAAACCATCGAATATCACTTTTAAAACCATCGAATATCAATATAAAGTGATATTCGATGGTTTGGGGATTTTTTGCTAAAATATGATCTTGATCCGTGTATCAAATATATCTTCACCTCATATTCGATCTATATCTTTGTAACCATGGGATAAATAGAGATTATCCTATATGAGGTTCTGGATATTGGGATTATCCCGAGGCCAATATAATATATCTGCCCGAGGGCCGTAGGTCCCGAGGGTAGATATATTATATTGGCCAAGGGATAATCCCAATATCCTGAACCGACTATAGGATGATCTGTTTATCCCATACCAATCACATTGTTCAATTGGCTAAAGTTCAGAAACTTTGCAACCAACCGTGGAATTATTTTAAAATATTCATGTCCAGTTTTGTATTCTTGCCGTAGCCAGATTTTCCTGTTCAAATCTTTGATTATTAACGGGGCATACTGTTCCTTCACTTTTTTAAAGCATCAAACAGACCGCGATTGTCTGCGTTTTTCTCCATTGTCGTTTACAGTATGCGAACGTTACAAAAAAGAACCAATACGGGAACAGCGATTATGACGTAGCGCGCAGATATACAGGGTGACCGGAAAAAAAGGAGACCATTGAAATAGGCAATATCTCCTAAAATAGACTAGTGACATCAATGAAATTTTGCATACATCAGGACAGTCCTATGGAAATTTGTTCCTGAAAGTGTCAATACAAGCAGTCAACTGGTTCAGGAGCTATGATCATTTACATAACATGCTCCAAATAGGCGCAATTGAGACCAACGCAGAGCTGGATACATTTGGCAAATACCCTTACATATTCCGACCTTGTTATGGCATTACATTTAGCATTTATTGCCACCTTTAGGTCAGCAATTGTCTCAGGATTGTTTTGGTACACATTGTCTTTCAAATTGCCCCACAAAAAGAAATCAGGTGGATTCAAATTTGAGTTGTATGGAGACGAAGCTTATCTGACCTATGGCTTCTGACTCAGTGGTCCCACTCAGTTACAGTATCATCCTAAGGAGGTTTTGGGCAGCCCTTGGTTTCCATATGGGATTTAATTGTGCCATATAGTGGTTTTAGTAACATGGCACTATGCCCAATACCTAAAGTGACTCTTAAGATTGGGTAAATCAGCACTTTGGCAACAGGATGATGAACCACATGTCAGATAACCCTTCATTGCCATTACAGCCTAGACTTGAATCCTGCTGATTTCTTTTTGTATGGATATTTGAAAGACAATCTATACCAAAACAATCCTCAGACTATTGTTGACCTAAAGAAGGCAATCACTGCTATATGTAATGCCATAATAATGCCATAGAGGGCAGAACATGTAAGGGTAGTTTGCCATATGAATCCAACTCTGCGTTGGTCTCAATTGTGCCTATTTGGAGCATGTTATGTAAATGATCATAGCTCCTGAACCAGTTGAATGCTTGTATTGAAACCTTCAGTAACAAATTTCCATATAACTGTTCCAGTGTATGCAAAATTTCATTGATGGCACTTGTCTAGTTTAGGAGAAATTGATTACTTCAATGGTCTCCTTTTTTTCCGGTCACCCTGTACTATATCTGCCCGCTCGGAGCGGGACGTAAAGCTATATCTGCCCGCTGATGAAAATATAAGTTTCTACAAACCGGCTTCGTGTACCCGTAACACCTCCAAGTATGGGATAAAGGGTTTTATCCCATACTTACTAATAGTGTTATAGGTAAATAACATGTGGGAATATAAACGATATCTGAGGTGAGCAGGTGATATATATATCTCCCGCTGAGGTGAGCGGGAGATATATATATCAATCGCTCAACAATAATACCCAGGAATTTCGTTTTAGAGCTCTGGAGTTAAAAAAAACGATAACTGTTAAGAACTTTACATTGAGATTTAAGATATTGATGTTTTGACTGTAGTTTGTAATTTGTGATTGTTACATGAGGGTTCCATAACGCTGATAACACTCAAGGCATACTTAGTAATCTACTAATCTTCATAATCTACTAAGTATAGGATACATCAGTTATTAAATGCTCGATTTTTGATACAGGGTCCCTACGGTCCCTCGGGTAGATAATATATTGCATTTCCCTCAGATATACCCTGTATCAAAAACCTCCCATTAAATAACCTCTGAATATATAAGGGTTATGTACTGGGAGGTTTTGGATACAGGGTTTATCCCAAGGGAAATATGTGTATCTCACGAGGGACCGCAGGGACCGAGGGAGATACACATATTTCCCGCGGGATAAACACTGTATCCAAAACCGACCGTACATAACTGGTGTATCTCATACTTGAGTGGGTTTGGGGTAGATATAACCTTTACCACCTTTTTCAAATGACAAGATAGGCCTATACTGTAAAAGCACAATTTATATTTAACATTTTAATGATATTCCTTCGGTTCAATACAATAGAAGTGTAACATTTAAACTTTTTGAAAAATTTTAAACTTCTGAAATTTAAATTTTTAAAATTTTTTAACTTTTTTAAACTTTTGAAAAAATTCCCGGGAGCGGGATGGATATATTATATATGCCCGCATTTGGCCTAGAGCGGGACATATACAATATATCCTGCCTGCTCCTCGGATATGATATATATTCCCGGGTGATATCTACCCCAAACCCACTCAAGTATGAAATACACATGTATATCACTTCAAAATACGACAGGAGTTACAAATTTTAGCATTCGTAAGAACTAAGTGATTTATTTTTAGATCATTATTGGAGAACAATACTTAAATGTTTTTTTTAATTTTGATAAAACGATCTGGGAATCCAGTAAAATGTTAACGAAAATCGATATACTTTAAATTTTAGTATTATCGAATTGTTCCCAGATCAGTGCAAGTTATGAATACGTTTGAAAAGAAGGAGATCCCCCTTTTCAATTCTAATGAATTAAACACATTTTGCATTTCAAAAATTTATTATAATCAAACATTTTTCAGATGATAAAATGAGGACCATGTAAGGAAACAGTATCTATATTCTTTGTTACAACGTATGTCGTTGTGCATATCGAATAAAATGCACAAACATATTTTAAATGAAGTTTGAATTTAATGAAGCGAAAGCAATCATCACATGTTAATATGTTCTTGGAAATCATAATTATATGTGTATATTTCGGCAACCTCAACATTAATATTCGACAAGAAATTTCAAGAATGAATTAACTATTTTAGAATAGTCATAAACGAGTTGATATATTTTGCTAGCACAAATAATGTGCGATACACTTTTGCACAATGAGCACGAAATTGACATTGATTATTATGTTATTGTCGTAGTCGTACCAATAAAGTTCTAAAAGGCAGACCCAATGTCCTGTTTAAGAACCCCTATTATTCTTACTATTGAAAATAAATTCTAGCAATAATATCCTACATGAATCGACTTGTTGAGACTCGATCAACATGAGTTCTGAGAAAATGAGGATTTCAGCAAGGGTGCATTGACCTAACATGGGAAAACATGACGATGACTTAGCATAAGGAATACCATCAAGTATGTCTACATGTAACGTCAATGCATCCTGGCTGATATCCTCATTTTTCTCTGACGAACTAAAGTTGTTCGATTCTCAACAAGTACATTCATCATTTGTCAATTGTAAACGTGGGTAAAGAAGTTTTAGTTCTGAGTCCATTTGCATTACCATGCGAGCTGTCATCGAAGTGTTGTGCTCCACTGCCGGCACCTCGCTATATTTATCAGGAACTGAGTACCTGTATAGCTCCCGGTGAGTTCGCTCAAAGCATGGCATTGGCTCGACGGGCCTCGCTATAGCGCTGCTCAAATTCATTTCGTGCATTAATGAATCTATAGAGGTCGCTGAAATCGCCATCATTAAAGTCACCTCCTCTTTTTTTCATTGGGAATCCGACGCTCCTACATGGCCTTCCCCAACTCACGAATCCGCAATCCTGTATTGTCTTTAAAGCTCGACACATTTGGAGTTCTTCGATGGTGCATGAGGCTAAGTTTTGAACACAGCAATTTTTGTCTTTCTTTTTTCTCCGAATGGAAACCTCATCTTCTTTTTTACTGAAAATATAACACTTAGGTGTGTGTTTTGTGTAAGTTAAATATTTATTATATTTCTCGTGGTTATATTTTTTTCAAGAATATACCTGCAGATAAATATCTTATGTATTTAAAAAGCTGATTAATTGTTTCAAAATATTTTGCAGGATATGTTGCACCTATTACTCTTGGTCATAAATGCAGTGTTTCATCAAATGCACTTACTTTATAAGATAGCGAAGTAGACTTTGGTGGGTCAGTCCTTGCGTACCAGCGACTTCTTCATAACCAGCGTCAGTGAGTTGTGTATCCGGCAGAGGGTAGAGTTTGAAACAGTCAGCTGAAATGCATTGTAAATATCATTTTGACAATGCTATATTTAAAAAATAAACATAACTTGAAATATAAAACATAAAATTACACGGTGCCATGTCTAAAAACGACGGCCGTAGCTTGACAAAATCAATATAGATTATCTATACAGCGTACTGCTTATCTCTAGTATATTTTATGCTGCATATCTCTCGATTTTGAGAAGCTACGGTCGCCATACGGTTGCCGTAGATTTTATGTGACTGAGGCCTTGTTGCTATAATCAATAGAGACTCAAAGAGAGCAGGGGTCCTTGATAAGTTAAAGTGTCTCCAGACTAATGACATAAGATGAATTATCAAAATTGCGGTTTCATAAAATTCCAAGAGTAAATAATTACACCCAGGAGAATAATCATTGTCTTCCCGTCGACATTATACGGTCCCATGATTAGACTTTGACGAATTACATAGTGTGTCGTTTTAGATTAATTATCATCTCACCGCTGTTTCATCTTACACATTAACTATTCTCATGGTAACTCAATGTGAAATTATTTGTTGCAAATATCATAGCATTTCACCATATCCTTTGTGGTTTATTTAATGGTCTCATCCGCCTCTACACTGCGTTCACTACGCCCAAATATATTCACGTCGCTTGTTTTGTACGACTTTGATTGATTTAAAATTATTATTTTTATATTAAATTCTCAGATGGGTGAATGATTACGCTTAATAACGGTACAAGGTTCTGATTCGAATTGCTAATGACGAAAGACAAAATAAAAACTGTCTCAGAATACGTTCACAGTGGTCATTATTAATATACGAGGAAGAAAACGTACGTAATACATGACAACCGCCATTCTTTTTTATTGGAGCTCTATGAAGCTTACTAAATGGACAATGGTTTTTAAGGACTATTAGAATAGACGACCTTAAAGATAAGGTTAACGCTAAAGTACTCTTAATTACAACAGTAAATAAACGTAACGCATTTTTCCTATTTAATAGATATTTCCTTGGAATTATAAAATGCCATTGGATTTATATTACAGAATCATGCATTTGCAATATTCGTTTCGGCAGAGATTTCCCGATATGATATATAGTATAATCGAAAACATCTTCCACGCAAATCAGTCATGGATCGTAGTTTATAAGCAATGTTTAATTATTGGAGCACATCATATAACCATTTTATACCAATTGAGAAAATACTTTTTTTGTTCATGTCGATGCTTAAAGATGTAATAAAATGACAGTTAGAATATTTTTAGATTCTACTTGGCACACCGAGCGGCTCTTTTGTTATAACTTTAACTATGCTGTCAGTGATATTTCGTCAAAAAACACGACGTTGTATTAAGGCGAATCTGTCAACCTCTGAAATTTTATTTTCGCAGAGTTTTTGTCATGTGACCATAACAGTTTTGACGTACCGTGCTCGAAGTTAATCATGTTGTCTGGCCTAACAACATTAAAAAGATACGTTAGAAAAGCCCGAATCCTCAAACACGTTGCGTCTATGTAGTTCTAGTTCTATAACTTACACGCTTTTACAAACGATTTAGCTCTAATCGACTCACTCACTTAACTGGCATGGACCACCCTTTGAAAAATTGAAAATAGCATTCATCTGTTAATACAATAAAAAGCATTCGACTGGGACACGCTTTGCAAAATTGATGAAATAACCTTATAATTGGCATACATACGGGGGAGTAACTGTTTCAGTGTAATTGAACCGGCCCTTAGAATCCGAGTCTCACACAGTTTTACTTTTGTAAACAGACAAGGTAAATATATTATTATTTTATTCATACTTTCGAACATTTTCCATTTATTTTTCTTGGACTAAGGATGGTGTTTTAAGCATATAAATTGTCAATCGAAGTAATTCATCAAGTGAATACTTGTTAATATCGAATTGAAGTCGTAATTCATTGGTTTCAAGCTATTTCAATTAGTTTGTCACATGCGTAACATGCATTTTACACATAGCTAGGCAAGGTGTGTCCGATTCCAGCCAATCCGAACAGAGTGTTCACATAATGACTTGTCAACTTGACCCTTGCATAATTGAAAATGTGTTATTTTAGTGATTTAGAAAAAATTGCAATGTGTGAAAAGAATTTAAGCCCAAGACTCAATGTAGCTGCTTCATTCCACTAAGGCGTTGTGCGCAGTCATGCAAAGGTTTGAAAACAACACCTTCATGGTATGATTCGGCAAACAATGCATTGAATCTTGGGCTAAAATCCTTTAGTATATAACTAGAACTATGCATTCATTGTCAACATTTTAATTGATCTAGCCTTTCAACCTAAACATACAACATCTTTAGAGTTTTTTAATCTGTGTCCAGTGCTACAATCAGACCAACAACCATTTTTGCGCGGATCCTCTCGGAAAAGGGAAATTTGTGTATAGAACGTCAAACATATGTTTCCATGAACTGAGATTTGGGGGATTGATCCAGTTTAGCAGTTATTTCAAATTATTTCATCAATAATGATGCATATATGTCTTTATATTCCATTTTAAATGGCCGTGTTTTCATAACCAATGAAGTTGGGATTCTGAGGACCGGTTATACTCATTTACACTTGAACAGCTACTCCCCCGTGTTAAACTAAGAGTGAACAACTCGTTTTTCAGGTCAGAGTTAAATTCTTATTTACAAAATCGTATTTCGCTGCATGCGAATTGATTCATTTTGTGTCATACAATCGTTTCAATGTGACATAAAATATGTGCTCTGAAAATGAAATCAGTTTTGCCCCGAAAGCAGACACGTGCTGACTTTATATTCCCGATATCATGATAAAATGGACGTTCTGGTGTTTCATCATCCTCAAGGGTAATCTAAATCTAGTAAAACGGTTTTATCACATCTTTAACTATTCATATTCTATAGGTTGATTACATGAGTGTTCTACATTATCACTTTACAGAAAGTTCTAACTCATCAATATGCGTTGTATCCCCTTTTTAGCAATTTCTTTTACCTAACTCATTTCTAGATTCAAATTCCATAATCAACTTATAACAACATTTATGAAATTAATATCCGCTTAGACTTAGTCCTACGCATGCCAGCTGAATGTGGCAAATGGTTCTTTCTATATAGTAGAGTTAAAGACAAGTAATGCCTTGGTCACAAATGCTCCGATCCATCGGCCGGCGCCCGGCCGATTGAGTGTATTGTTCAATATTGTATTCAATTTTGAACAAAATACTCAATCGGCCGGGCGCCGTAGTGAAAATCGGAGCAAATGTGACCAAGGCATTAGCAAGGTGACGAAAACCTGATAAAGCAGTAAGATAAATTGTCTTTAGAGAAAGCCTTCCTCTAGCCTCTTTAGGAAAAGAAGAAGATAACATCAGTCTACACCAGTTCCGATTTTTAACTGAAATATTAAGCAGCGCGCTTGCATGGTCGCATAATGTTTCCCTTTTATATATTTTTAATATTTTTTACAATTTTCAATCTCCTTCTCATTTTTATAAGAATGTTATGGCATGAGATTCTAGTCATTTTAATAGCCTTTTTGTGGACTTCATAATTAATATTAAGGTATTTTTCTAGTTTATAAATTTTCTATACATTTCTATACATTCTTGCTTTTAAGTTGTACTCAAACCATTTTACTCGATTTAGAGATATTAATGCTATCTTACCGTATGAAAGCCACACTTTACGATGGTGAGCCATCAACAATTCCAAAAAATCATTTTATCATGATATCGCGGCAAAACTGATTCATTTTCAGAGCAGACATTTTACGTCACGTCAATTCAAAATGCGATGGCGACCTGTAATCAGGTCATGATGACCTTCTAGATTAAGGGACGCGTTATACGACCGTTGCACACCGACGTGGTGCGATCTAAACGAACTGCTAATGAGATGGACGTATTGAAGACTGTTTATGAACGAAGTAGCTAATTATTTTAGACATATTTCCCGACCACAGCCAGATTGATTTCAGCTACATGTGTTTTTTTAAAGAATAGTTATTGACATTTATTAACTATTATATTTCAAGGTTTTGATTAATATGCTTGTATCTGTTTGATGAGAACTGTCTTTATCTTGGAAAAACTTTGTTATTCCACAGAAAAATGTCAATTTGACCTTTTCCATATAAATGGAAATAGATGGCATCATGGTTTTGGTAGGGCTATGGTAGGGCTAGAATACATGTAAATGTATTGCAAGAGTCGCTTGATTTCTTTATTTAAGAAGCAATTCCATTTAGATAAACTTAAAACACCATTGGAATGTAACTATATGATCTTATTGACATGTTGATTGTGATTTCACATTAAAATTGTGATCCTTGTAAGAGTAAATTAACTTTTAAGGTTTTTCAGCGTTGTGTCAATGGGGATTTAGTCCGACCTTTTTTAGACAACTAGAAAATCATTAGAATTTGAATAAAGGTGAATAACAGTGCAAATCAGTTACACAGGGAATTCGAATATGCTATCAAATGGAAGAACATTTTAGTCTTTAATGGTTAACAATGCAGATCTCCTAGAATCTCATTAAAAACGAGATTTCAAAGCTAAATGGAAAAAGAACCATTCACAGATTGCCTTCACAACAGTATAGCCTAATAATTTGAAATACATTATTGGCATTATCTACTTTCACAATCAGTGAACCTTTTGGGGCTTTCCTGGCATATACCAAATAGTGTATGATCCCTATACAGATATTAACAAATATGGGACCTTTATTTCAGACTTACCTAGTATTTTTATGTATTTTGAATAAGCTTGTAGTTTGAATTAGAAGAAATTTAAATGATATAGCGAATATGCAGATGCGAGTAGGCAGTTACCAGTTTCACCACCAGATGGCTCGTTCGGGTCAGATAGCATGGCGGGTATAGTAAAGTTCCTTTTAATTAAATTAATTAAATTTTAGTGGTTTAATTTTCATATCACCATTATGTAAGAAAATGTTATCTGTCCAAAACAAGAAAAGATATTTCACTTTTTGTGATTTTGTAACATGGGGTCTATGGGGAATCTCAACGAACCACACATTTCTAAAAAAGAAATTTCAAAGTTGATAAATAATTTTCGAAACCATATTTCTAGATGTACTTTTACATGTAGATTTCAAATATGACATCGCTTTGACTTAATTTTGAATATTTAATGACTATTATTTCTACTCGCATCTAGTCTATTATGGAGCAGAATAAACATGTTTGCCTTGCGCACCTTAGATATGATAATTATCGAACTACCGTGCAAATTAAAATAGGATGTAAAATTTATTATAAACACAAAATGACACTGTTTTATAGATAATAAATACTCTTTCACCATTATTGCTCATTTTGACAGCTGATTCCCCAAATTCATGAAAAATGACTCACGTTGTATTTTTAATTACACCGCGATTTAAACGTGTTCATGTTAAGTTCAATGTTAGAATAGGTTTGGTTCAACGAGGGGACACGATATTAATTTCGCGATTGCATCATTGCTAACAAATGAAAAGTTGTCCGTTATCTCATTGATCACACCTACTATACGATGTCATGTAAAAATAGCAATTCCTATAAGAGGTAAATCCCTTTTTGACAGATCAGATTAAAGAAATCTATAACAATGTATCACCGTACTTCATCACGTTTCACCAGAAGTTTGGACTTCATCCAAATTGGAATACAAATAGTTGTACAATAAATAAAATCAGTTAAAAATAAAAATGAAATGAAAGTATGAAAAATAACACAAAAATAAAGAGTTTGATTTTTAGTTTTATTCATGGATTAATCTTGATAAACTAAAGCATAAACCGTATACATTTGAAGTAAACATAAATGTTTACATCTACATGTATTTAATACATGTAGATATGTAGTCATGGAAAGTATATTATAATGTAAAGTTGTTTAAGCATCCGATGAAACATTGTACATATTAATCTAAAAACCTACCTGAAATAAAAACTTATTGACTTTTTTTTAAAACCTACCTGGTGTTAGAAGTCCTGACAGCATAATAAATACAAGCACTGAGTGTGTCATCATTTGTAAATTCTGTTTTGAAATAATTGTCAATATTTTGTTAGTTCGTAAAACAAGTCCTTTTAGTGGAATGTAGATCGTCCTTTTAGTTTCATGAAACATCCTCTCGCTGTTTGTAAATTATATTTCCTCAGTTGCAATATATATAACGAGTTTATTATTTAAATATCTCCTCGAAAACCTTTAATGATCTTAATCCTCGTTTGATCATATACTAACTTCAGTTAATTTGCCACACATTGTTGGCTTATGTACAATTGTGCGAAAATCCCAACAATCGCATTAATTACATTACCATACACAATTGTCTTAATGTCAAAACCAATGATCGTATCGCACACTCGGCGTGCGTTAATCGGTAATCTCTTCTCGCTTGTTTAATGAATCTCTTGCAATTTATGACGCGAATGGCTGCTGTTCTCTGATTGATATAAACTCATCGCCGCCCCCAATTCTTTCGCACATATATACTTACACTGGGTGTCCTTGGGTAATCTCATTGACCAATCAATTATGAGTATCGGATGCTAATTAATTGTTTTCGTCTTATTATCGTTATTATGTCACCACCAAAGGGTAGTGACATATACATTGTTGTGGTGTCCATTTTTGTGACGGTGGGCGGCAGTTGGTCAACGGCAGTAGGCGATTGGCCATCGGCGATTGGCGTGTGCAACAAACTCTTACAACTTTTAATAACTTGACAAATACCGAAGTTAATACTGACTTCATTTTTGCAAAATCAACCAAAAGTTTTCAGAAGTTCAAATCTAACTTAAGATTTAATATTTGACCTACAATGACCTTCGCAAGGTCAAAAAAGATTTAAAGGGTATTTTTTTCAACTTATTTCAATTTTTTTCAAAATCATCTTCTCCAAAGTTCCAAGTTCTCCATAGGTCGAATCTGACTAAAGACCTTCAATGACTTGCTCAAGGTCAAACGAGTTGTTCCTTCAGGGATCTTTTCAAGGTAAAAAAGGCCAAAAAGATATTTTTCAACTTGCTTCAATTAATTGACCAGATTTTCAAAATCATATACAAGTTCTGAAAATTACAATGCATCTAATCAATATTTGTTTTATCAAACGTGGTGCTCTATTCAATTCGATTCAATTTATTTATTTATTCCTTGATGAGCACAACGATACAATGAACATATATATAATATAACAAGTGACACAATTTCCAAGGTTAAAACATAATACAACGAATATTAAAAACAGGGTCAGGTCGAGAAATCAATTGGGATGTATATGATGAAATGCAATAAAGGGGGGACACCATTAAGTGTCAATGGGGGGGGGGGGTCGAAATGTATCATAGATAAGAGTAAACAAACTTATACATTGTACATTATTTCACACATATTTCACATAACTGCACAGTATTATACTCGTATAGCTAATAACTCACCCAAGGCCATTCGTTGAATAATTGTCACCTTGAGTAATGGTAATCCGATGCTAAGTCATCGGTCAATGATGTATGTACCCATGTTAAATCAATGCATCTTTGCTAAAATCATCATTTTCGAAGAACTCGAGTTGATCGAGTCTCAATAAATAGATCCATATTGGATAGTATTGCTAGAATATATTTTCTTTAAAATAATAAGGTTCCTAACCCTACTATCACACCAAACTAGTTCTCACTACGTTCTCGAAAACGGGCTTCAACTGTGTACGAACGACTGGACGTATTTAGAACCGTTTGGGGTCTATTTACAAACTTCATCGAAAGTTCTTGAGCGAGTAGGTCCCATAGAACTTAGAACATGCTCAAAATGCACTCGTGGTCGTAACGTTCTGCAATTAGAACGAGTGACAACGTACTATCGACGAGCTGGACATACTACGAACGGAACCGTCGTACTTCAATCCTACTAGGGACGTTTTAACAACGAGTTGAACTGTCTGAGGACGTATTGAGAACGAGTTAGGACTAATTGCAAACGTGTTTAAACTGATTAAGAACGTATTAAAGACTGCTTATGAACGAGTTGGCAAAAATATAGTTATCACACCAAACAAGTTGCCACTACGATCTTCAAAACTGGCTTTAAACTGTGTGCGAACAGAATGAACGTAGCTGCAACGTTCTAAGGACTATTTACGAACTTCATGAACCTTCTCAGACGAGAAGGTGATTTTAGATGGCGACCATACCGTTCTGTAATCAGGTCATGATGACCTTCTAGACTAAGCGTTATACGACCGTGGTGCGACCTGAACGAACTGCGAATGAGATGTACGTATTGAAGACTGTTTATAAACGAAGTAGCTAATTATTTTAGACATATTTCCCGACCACAGCCAGATTTTGCCCGTTTTACGACGTTTTTGTAGGACTGGCAAGAACGGGTAAGAAGTAGTTTGGTGTGATAGGGGGGTAAACAGGACATTGGGCTTGCTTTTTAGAACTTTTTGTTGGTACTATCAAGGCTATATCTGTAAATTCTGAGGGTGTTTTATGTGAAGAGGGGATTTTTGCAAGGTTTTGACCGATTTGGGATAAGAATAAATCAATCTAATTTTTCACTTCTTTACCATTGTCCAAAAACGATGCGACGGTGTTAAAATGTTGTTTTTCCTCATAATTCCCAGCGTCAGCTTGAAATCTGTGTCTAATAGAAGCGTTTCCAGATGTATTATGCATTTCCAATTTTTCTTTGAAAATTGCATAAAGTTTTGAAGTTTTTTTTAACAGAGAGTCGATGATCTCTAATAGTTATCCAAAGTTTTGATATATCAATGAACATTTTAATTTCATCGGTCAATAAAGGGAAACATTTGTCATAAAAGAACGGACGATGGTGGCAAAAATATCATGAGATTCATTTGGATCATTAATTGAGCTTACATTATTCAAATCTGTTTCCTTTAACATTGAGATAAATGTATCGATGCGCTCCTTATCGACTTTTCTGTACTTAATTAAAACTATTTTATTTTCTGAAGTATTCTTTCATTTTTCACTGGTCATTATCAAGCGAAGGTAACGGCCGTTACCCTCGCATTTAAGATGGCGGAGGGTAAATGTCGATTTCGATATTTCTTAGCTTTCAGCTTTCATCGAATTAAACTATTTTATAGTTGACATCATGCTTTGATAGTTTACCTCGACCAGGCTTATATGACATGGGAATTCTGGAGAATGATAGTTTCTTCATATATCGTGCGTGAGCGCCATAGTTCAACGATATCTTCCACTGCTTAAGGGAGGGTAACTGGAACTGTAAGATACTATAACGGTCATGAAACTAAAACCCAAATTACCTCCCCTTATGCAGTGGAAGATATCGTTGAACCGAGACGCCTGGTAAAATAACGTTTTATATCGGCAAAGAAATACACAACAGAACGCCTACAATATTACAATTTATTACATACCGTATTTGAAAACACCTACAATAACCTACAAATAAACATGTTTAGCATAGGTAATACATCCACCAGAGTATTAGCTACAGACGAAACCGTTTGAGAGGTGAAGACAATTTATGATTTCTCCTCATGATAAGGCTAAAGTACCAGTATACTCTATAAGCTTACCCAAAATATTAAAACATAATTTCATTTAGTGACGAGACGATTTATTGTATTATACTTATTGTTTATAAGGTATCCTTATATTACATATAAATTCTCCTTATAGTGGGCTGTATAGCAAGGTTGGTCGGGGTCGGGAGCTGGGGATAATTTTATTGCTTAAATATAACCATATCATCATCCTACATTAGAATCCACTCAGTCTAACATCAATTTCTGGTGCGAAAGTTGTCATAATAACCTTTCATAATATTCATTGTGTCATAATCATTATATCACGGATAACTAAATTTAATATAATTATCTATAGGTTAAATAGAATTCGTTAAGAAGGCGCGACGTCGTGAAGAATCAGTAGATAACTCTAGGTTTTGAGTGCCTACACAGGCTCACGTAACACCACTTTGTGAGGACCCTCGAATCAAGTACGGGATGTGTATATAAATAACACATTGTTTTTAGTATTTTTATCAACAATTAAATGCAGCTACCAGTTTTTTCAGATATTGATTCATGATTCAACATGAGTACACGTACATGTATAAGTATCAGTATAAAGAAAATATATTATTTCGTTTTTACACTTCTTAGACTTATTCGTGCATCACAACCATACTATGCTATTGATACATGATTGTACTTGAATATATTTAATGTTGACATTTAAGAAAGAAAACTATTGTTTCATACTTACATATGTCTCGTGTCATATTAATACTATTGAGATCCAATCAGTACAACATCTCTAAATAGATTTTATTACAATTTGTATAAATTGCATTCTATTTATTCTTTTCTTGCTTATGGTCAGTTTGTTTCATGAGCCCCTTAAAATGGCACTGTTTACAATTCTAATAAATATCGACAGATCTTTGTACAAACCTTAATATGGCCATAAGTATGAAGTAGATTTTTTGATTTGCGTCCTGGCAAAATCCAAATCATGCAAGGGTACAAGGAAAGCAAACACAAACTAAAAAACACTAACTTGTTTGCTGAGAAATGTATACATTTTATGGACATAAAAAGGGACGACATGCCAATTTCCAGTGATTACAAACACATATCTATACACGTTATACAATATTATTAAACGTAGCTATTATTCAAGGGTAAAAATAAGAAAATACACAATTTATGCCAAAGTAATCAATGACACTGTCAATTTTGACGCACATCAAATTATCCGCCATTTCGTCTGATATTGAACGAAATGCGATTGTACTTTCAGACACTTGTGATTGCTATTCGAATGTGTGTATTTTTCTGATTTACTCAAAATCGTACAACCAAGGGAATGGAAAACAAAGAATCTACTTCTTATGGCCTATCTGAAAATATGAACGATCGCCAAAATTGCTAATATTTAAATATTTTTTGGATAAATACAGGTAAAACGAAATGCAAATGAAAATATATTCTGATACTCATGGCATCTTTCTGTTTTAACAGTACTGAGAAGAAATGAGGAGCCATAGATTATCATGATGATGCAAATATGGCAATTATTTCTTCTGGAATCATTCAGGAAAAACATTATACGTTAAGAATTCTTCACAGCAGGCGAAAGAGACGTGTCCGGCTCTTCCACGCTCCGTGACAGTTGACCAGTAGTATGTTATCTTGATATACACCTTATTCACTCAGTATTAAACGTTGACATTCCTGCGTGAAACGCATTGATTAATTTGTATGCATCGATACGCTCAAAGAAATCTAGTAGACAATTAAACAAACCCAACTATCAATGTCCATTTATTTCTCTGAAATAGTGTGACACTTATTGAATACGCTCTTTTCTAAACTGAAAGCAATACGATGTTGTATGTACTTAGAA